TGTGTGTGTGTGTGTGTGTGTGAGTGTGTGTGTGTGTTCATCCAGCTGATGTGTTGTTCTTCTCTTGAACTATGCCCTGATGTGACAGTAACTCATTGGTACAGTGAGAGAGCAAGGGCTGGAGGACAGACAGACAGTGTGTTAAAGGGGTTCAGAGTGATCGGATCGAGTCAGAGAGCGGCATCATGCTCTCCTCAGGCGTGCGTCCACCGGTGTTCTTCACGGCCGTCCGGTCACTGTGTGTCGGCGCATGCGGCCGTGAGGATGCGGTGACGGAGCGGCCGCTGCAGAGGAGAACCGGAGGAGTGCGAGACTTCCAGGAGATTCCTCACACCGGCAGCAGCGGCTGGATCAACCTGCTGCGCTTCTGGAAGGACGGGAGATTCAGCCTGCTTCACAAGCACATGGAGAGCACCTTCAGACGCCTCGGACCCATCTACAGGTGCAAACACCACAGCAAACGGGTTTGAGAGTTATGAATTCATGCACTAAAGCTGATGTTCTCAATAAAGCTGATCACCATCATCTCTACAGAGAGCCGCATTATCAATAACACTCATTTACTGAACTTGGATCTGTCATATAGAAATATCTGCCAGTGGAGTCAGAAAAATAAACTTGTTTTGCCTTTGAACAATTTTTTCTGAGACCATTGGCGGATGTTTGTTCTTGTCATAAACTCTTTATTTAACATTTAAACAAGACTTCTTATGTCATTTTGCATCTCCAGTAAATATGTATTGATTTAAAATATTTTAGATATTTGTACTGTAAAACAAAGAACATTTGATCATAGATGATTCATCACAAATACTGTGCAATCATTGAAGAAATGTTCTTTATTTTGCAGTTAGTGCTGCTTGATTCAGGCAAAAAACATAATCACGATTATTTAAAATGATTACTCATTTTTTAACTTAAAAAACAACTTTTTTCAGTTTTAAAAATGACATTAAATATAATTAAACTGTTATGGTAGTTAATTAATGATAAATATCTTTGAAACAAAAAGGCATGAAAAATACATAGCATTAATAGTTCTTGTATTTTAATGCATTATTTTCCTAAAATGCAACATGGTTGTTAAGCTGTAAAAATTTAAATTGGAAGCATTTCACACACAATTTAAGCATTAAAAAGTCAATATTTTATATTCACCTTCCAGAGTTCATTTCCAAATATTCAAATCAAATTAAAAAAGCATGCAGCTGAACTCGGATTGTGTGTTTCAGGGAGTATCTGGGCTCTCAGAGCAGCGTGAACATCATGCTGCCGGTGGACATCGGGGAGGTGTTCCGATCCGAGGGTCTCCATCCGCGCCGCATGACGCTGCAGCCCTGGGCCAC